AATATCAGTTCATAATCCATAATAACCAGTGAAAAACTCTATCTCCTGTTGTCTTTTCACATCAAAACCCACCAACATACTTGTCCACAACTGTTTTGGACTGTTTTTTGCTTGTAAACAGTGCTTGATCTGTGCATATTTCTCTCCTGATTCAGACGAGATGTCTTTTTCATTGGAGAAAGCAATAGGATATAGGGGACTTGAATTTTAGCTGGAAGCAACTGGTTTGAAGTTCAAAACTTCTAATGATGATTTGTTTACCATGCAAAATATGCTGTTTTTTTGCATCACAAGACATTAACTGATGGACTAAAGTCATGCTTTTATTAGCTGTTTGGACTCTCATTCTGACGGCACCCATTCACTGCAGATGATCCATTGGTGAGCAAGTGTTGTAATGCTAAATTTCTCCAGATCTGTTCTGGTGAAGAAGCAAACAGATCTACATCTTAGATGGCCTGAGGCTGAGTAAATTTTCAGCAAATTTTCATTTTTGGGTGAACTATTCCTTTAAATTACATTAAGTTATGGTACTATTTAAATGCTTAAATGGTTGAATGAATAAGACAGTTTTTTTTTGCTGAATACTAAGGTGGCACAACTCTGATTTCACATTCAGTGTGTGTGTGTGTGTGTTTGGAGAGATGTGGGTGTGTATCTGCTTGTGTGAAAGTTATAAAACTGAATCCTGACACCACTGTTATTTCCTTCATGTTATTGCGCGCTATGTGAATCTACATTCGTCTGCCGAAAAAGTGCCTGAAGTTCATGCTGTAATCAGTGTTGGCTCAAAGAATTGGCACAGCACCACTAAACTGACAACATGACTCATATAATCACTAAGCAGAGTAAAGAACAACCTTTATCCAAGAAAGCTTCTCCACCATGTTTTGATATGTGTTTGCGATTTGCCACACCTTATGATTTACAAAGCCAAAGTGTATAGATCACAATGCAAACACGGCTGTTTAAATGACAAGAACATGCATGCTTAACACAGCCAGTGTGTAATCATAGAGAGTGGGGAACCTTGAGTAATTATGCATTACTCACAACTTATTTCCAGGTGTAGGTAAACATAGGGACTCCATGTAAGCCGGGGAATATCAATAAATAGGCTCACTGTACACAACTGTCTCTGCTTTCCTTAAGCATGACCTATTTATCTCTGTCCATATCAACAGAACAAATCATTATACATTATATATATCATTAAACTATCTTCACTAAGACATTATTTCATAACTTCAGCATATCCAAAGCTGTAAAACGCATTAAAACAGAAAGGAACTTGCGCTGCAGGTAAGGGGTTATCCATTTGAGAGGGGCCCAGGGGAATAAAGTTCATGCTCTCCCAATAAAAGCAAATTTACTGGCCCCAAGTCCCTCTAGAAGTAATGGGAATAAGACATAACTCATTCCCTTACTGAAAAGAAGAGAGAAGGAGAAAACGTTTCTGAGCTTTCATTCATATTTACAGTTGTGTATCCAAACGTGCGTCCGCTGTAGCTCAAATGGAAAAAAAATCAGAAGGCTTTGGCTGCCAGACGTTGTTCATGGAAAAACTTGAGGAGGGGGTGCAGGGCAGAGAGTTAATAGAAAAAGGAAAGGCAGAAGACTGCGAGAGAGAGAGCTTTATTAAAGCTCCAATCTTCAGTCAATCAACACTTAGTTAAAATAACTCCATAAGCTAGAGATTTAGATCTTGACCGAACCTGTACCTGCTCACATGGTGAGCTAGTTTTCTGCAGTTAATATAACCAATTTTGAAGCTACAAAAACAAGTGCATCTTTGGTCAAGTCAGCAGATAAATTGTACACAATATAAATGTTGAGCAAAAATGTTGTGAAAAAAAAGCATTAACACTAACTATATTAAAGTGGCTATAATGACATCCTAGTCATATTTTTGGACTGTAAGTGTTATTTATATAAGCCATATAAAAAATATCTAAATAAAAAATTAAATGGGTACTTGAAAGTTAAAATCATAAAAAGTCACATTGTGTGATATAAAGTCAAAATGGTTAGATATAAAAATCACAATTGTCTAATATAAAGTCACCATTACAAGTAATAAAGTCGCAATTATGAAAAATAAAGACATAAATGAGATATGAAGTCACAATTATAAATTGCACAATAAGATAAATAGAAAAATTAAGTCAAAATTGTGAGACAAAGTTGCAGTTACAGAAATATTAAGTTGCATTTGTGAGATTTAAAGTCTCAATTATGAGAAAAAGTCACAATTGTAAAATATAAAGGTGCAATTATGTAAAAATTATGTCGCAAATTCCAAGAAAAAGTCGCAAGTTGCAAATATGAGAAATAAAGTCACAATTGTAAGATATAAAGGTGCAATTATGTAAAAATTAAGTTAAAATTACCAGAAATAAAGTAGCATTTCTCAGATATGAAGAAATAAAAAAAAAATTGCAAATATGCGAAATAAAGTTACAATTGTAAGATATAATGTCGTAATCAGAAGTAATAATGTTGCATTTGTGCTACATAAAGTTGCAAATATGAGAAAAAAGTCACAATTGTGAGTGAGGGATATTTCAACAGGTTATAATATTCAGAATTTTTCACAAAAAAATTTCCAAGAACTAAACCACAACAGTTTTCAAAATGGTAAAACAGACACCTTTCTTATTTCTCAGAATGTACAAAAACAAGCTGCCATACTGGTAGACTGTTAATCTATGAATGTGTCACCTCATTTTGTCCTTTTCGTGCCTCATCCCTTTTACCCTGCCTATTCATTGACCTATTGCTCTTCAGACATCAATACCCCTCCCCACTTGCTCTCAAATTTCCTCTTTTCCCCACTACAAGCTTAAGACCAGCTGTGGCCAGCTCAGATCTCAGTCTATGAATTGACACCAGGCCTGCAAACACACCTCTGCTCTGGAGTTCATTAAAGGAAGAGTTTCATTAGAGTCCCAGCCACAACACATCACCAGGAACACTCTCTCCCCACACTCTTTACCAGGTACCTCTCACCAAGACGAGACTGACACTTTGATACTTCTCCGGAAAGAAAGGAAGCAAAAAAAGGAGAAAGAGCGTAAAGAAAAACAGACAGCATACTGACCCCTTTCCTCTTGATGGAAGCTGACATGACGACTTTCTTTGATGATGACAGTAATGATTACCAACAGGCCAACATAAAGCTCAAAGGGATCTCTGTGCACCTCAGCGCAATGACGGCAGCCAGTCCAAAATGAGCCGTGTTTTCGTCTGTGTACGAGACTTAGAGGCACACAGACAGGACTTTGTGGACTTTAATCAATATTAATGTGATTTGGAGCATGGCCAGTCACGTCAAACGGTCAGGGGTTCAGACTTTGATTTGGATGGAGACTATCCACAAAGCTTAGAAATGAAATCTGCACCACTTTGAGATTTGCATCAGTACTGTAAATAAAAACCACGTGATTGTTTACTTCTAGCAGTGGGTCAACTTGCTACATAATATGAGAAGATGCCAGTGAGGGCAAAAACTACTTACTAAATTTCCACAGCACTAAATTGAAAGAATTACTAGGATCTAAAAAAAAAAACAACAACAAAAAAATATGCTATCATAAATCTACGCTCCAATGCTAAGTGACTATATGGAAATATGGTAAGATTAAAAGAGAAACATGAAGGCAGCGTATTAATGTACTGTCTGTAATCTGAGTGCGTTGAAACAGAAACATGTGGTGAACCCCGTTGTACATTTTAGCACAAACAGGTGCTGCCTGATTTTAATGACGTTAGACATAAAAATACTACAGTTCCTATATAGCCTTAAACAAGACACATGCAAGCATTATGGACAATATCTTCATTTGTCTTTGCGAACCTAGAACTGACCTGCTGAAGTTTCTGCAATGCTCACTCTAAAACTATAAATCAGAAATGTTCAGAATAGTCTTTAATTACCACACATAAGAGTACTTCCTGATACACATCTGAAATGAACTACTAGAATTGCAATGTAGGTTTCATTGGAATTTTTCATTGTAAATCTCAATTCCAATATAAAACTTTAATTTGAGACAACAGTGACAGTAAAATAAATCATAATGAAAATGCAATGCATTGATTACATAATTGAATGGTTTATAACTTTTATAATATTTAAATAATATAACATTTAATTTAATGATTACATTATAAAATTATAAATTATATAAAACAGTAAAACTGTGAAATATTATTACATTTTAATATAACTGTTTTCTATTTTAATATTTTTTTAAATGTAATTGATTTCTGTGATGGCAAAGCTGAATTCCCAGTAGCCATTACTTATCGCATTATCCTTCAGAAATTAATCTAATATGCTGATTTGTTGCTCAAGAAACATTTCTTATCATTAGTGTGCTGCTTAATATTTTTGTGGATGCTGTGATACAGACTTTTCAGGATGTTTTGATGAATTGAAGTTACAAAAGAACTTCTTGAAATAGAAAATATCACTTGAAATAGAAAATGTCACTTTTGATTAATTCATCCTTGTTGAAAAAAATTATACATTTTAAACCCAGATCCCTAATCTACTTCCAGCATGGACACATTGCTGCTGAATTGTTCCAGAACATTGCAATACAAATGTACTGAACTGTAACACAATTTAGTAACAAAAGATAATCAAATCCTATTATTTACATCCCTATCCAAATGCACATTAAAATACGCAAAATGTGACCTGTGAGACTTCACAAGCAAATATACAGTAGGTTGGAAATGTTACACTTAAATCGCAGTAAGTGAAGCCCCGTGAAGTCTTCTTGAAGACAAGAAGAACATGCATTCCTTTTTGTGCAGGTCTACATCATCCATTCACACATAAAATGGAAACACTTTAGGCAGTAAACTTTTGAAGGAGCAAATCATTATTTGCCTATGCATAGTTTTTTCCCCTTTTGCTCTGCTATATTTAATGACAGATAATGGAGGATTTTAGATGGGGTACAGCACAGAGGAAAGGAAAATGGACTTACGGTGAAGGCCTTCCAGGCAGAGGGGTGGGAGCCGGATCTGGAAGAAAGAGGGAGTAGAGATTTTTAACAACATGCTAGGCACAAATCGGCCCAAAAGAAGCACAACAATTTTCCGAATTATACTGCTACTTAGATTCTTCTACAAAGAAAGACTGTATAATCAGCATTTTCTGTTCATACAACTAAAGTCAATGGTAGGGATGCACCGAATGTTCGACAACCGAAATTATTCGGCCGAAAATAGCAAAAAAAATCTCTTTCGGTGTTTGGCCTGCAGAATGAAACTGCAGAATGTTATATTTTCTAATGCACGCACGAATTGCATGTATTCTGACAGCACTGCTTGAGCTCACGGCGCTAGGGTTCAAAGTCCAAAGCGCGAGGAAAATCTGCGCTGAAACTGTGTTACTCGTCAGTTGCTCAGTAACATTTTTGTGAATTTTTTTAAAGGCATGTTATAAATCTGCATGCAGTTTTCAACAAAAAGAAGCACTGAGATCTTCCTGCGGGTTTCGGCCAAAATAAAAGCCGAGAAAAAGCAACAACTCCATCAACATTCATTACAACAGCTCTATTAATACATTTATAACATTCACACATAGTGTTCAAATTGGGATCTGTAATATATTCTAATGTTTTAAAATATTTTTTTTCTGCTCAGCAAGGCTGCCTTTATTAGTACAGTAAAAAATACATGCCTTATTCAAGTCTCAAAAAATGGCCAAAAAATATTATTTTACTAACTTATTCATTTTAAGTTAAATTGTGCTTTGTTGGTATAATGTCTGCTAGAATGTTAAAAAATGTTCAGTGTTAAGTAAATATTTTTAAATTGTTGTTTTGTAATTGATTTTTTATTTGAAAAGCAAGACAAAACAGTAAAAAGCACATTTTGGCTATTTAATTTATGCAATGGTGAAAAAAATTGCAAAATAGGCCTACATGGGGGAAAAACCGTGTTCAGTATTCGGCCTTCGGCCCAGTGTTTCATTTTGTTCGGCTTCGGCCAAGAATTTTCATTTCGGTGCATCCCTAGTCAATGGGGTCCAAACAATACCCACAAAAAACACAAGGTGTGTCCAAAATCGCATACTGAGTAGGTACTACATTTGATGAGGAACGAACGTCATAACAAGTAAACAGTATGTTTTATATAGCATAAATGTATGTAGTGTGAATGAAATTTGGACATATTACATCCTTCGGCTTTGTTATGTGACTTACGGCCTCATGAGATAGTAAAGTGTCCATTGGATGCACATTTCGGAATCTGTACCTACTGTTTATGTTATGAATACTACAGATTTGGAAATGCTACTCATTTCTCATACTATTTATCGCCCTACTATATAGTAGGGAAGTAGGCATAATCAGACTCAAGGACAGAGATATTTTCCAAAATATGCTCTTTTATGTCCCACAGAAGAAAAAAAGTCATACAGGTTTGTAACAACCTGAGAGTGAGTAAATGGTGATAATCTGCATTTCTGGGTAAAAGGGACTATCTTTCCCTTTAAGACTGGTTAACAGCAACAGGGTTAACACAATGTTGGAATTTGGTTTGCTGGCATTTGTTGCATTTGTTTTTCCAAAGTAAATTTAGGAGAAACATCTGAGACAAAGTCGATACTTTAAAAAAATCAGAACTGAGAACCCCCTAATGTTTCCTCAGCTAGCAAAGATGACCCTCTGAGATGGGATGTGTTTAAACACACAGACCTGAAGTTTTTCTGCAATGCGTCAGTCAGTCACCTGATTATGAAATCATCAAGATATTGTTAAATTCCTAAAACACTCACCAAACTTGACAAACAGGATTCCTGTGGTAGATACTGTGCCATAGGTGTTGGTAGCCACACACTGAAAGTAAAGGTGCTTCAGCGAAATATTTAGTTAAGGGTCTGAATACTTGCAATGTACTTATTTCAGTTTTTTTATTTTTAATAAATTTACGAAGTTGTGACAATTCTGTTTTTGCTTTGTCAGTATGGTGTATGGAGTGTAGATTGATGTGGAAAAAAAGTAATTTAAATCAGTTTAACATAAGGCAGCAACATAACAAAATGTGAAAAAATGAATTGGGTATGAATACTTTCGCAAGGCACTGTATATGAGCATACGATGTGCAACAAACCTCTAAGCTGCCAGTTAGGAATTCTTTACATGATATTTAGCGGTTGCCACTAGGTGGTAAATCATTATTTTGTCTCATCGGGGTGGATATCGCCAGAGGGGACGGCAAAACCTCTTGAAGCTTCTGGAAACTTCTGTCTCCAGAAAATCTGTCTTGCCAGGCCTACAGCTAACTTTGATAAGGGGCCAGCAAAAACATGACAACCCCCAATATTTCATGAGTGGTGGGAGGGAAATAAAAGCACTTGCAGTGAGCTCAGCAGATCTGACCCATTCTAGTCTGACTAAGGCCATAGAGGGGAACGTATGAGGTAGCACTTCAAATCTATGGGAAAGTTACACAGATGGTATGCTGAAACAATTTGTGGTGAAGGACCTCAACCAGAATTGGGGTTAGAGTGGATATACAATGGTATGCGTGTGTGCTTGTGAAAACAATGTGATCTTATCAGTATTAGTAACGTGTGGTTTTAGCACAAATCCATTTTTGTACGCTTGAATAGACGCTGAAACGTACAGTCCAAAAGACCAACATCCAAACCAAAGACTGGACTGAAAAATTGTGAAAAAAATTTAAATAAAAAGTGTACACTAAGTGTACAAATTCCTATGAATACTAATGAGATCATCTTGGCAAAAACCAGATGTTTTTGAAAAACCAGTTGTTACATACAAATAATTTTAACCTCTGTAGAGTTCCCTGGGACTTCCTGTGGAGTCATATGATCAGTTTGGCAGACATGCTCTGACAGGCTCTTGATGGCATCCTGACAAGCCCTACTGGTGCAGCCAAGAAGCAAAGAGTGTAAGTAAACTTTTCCTCTCACTCAGCGCGGATTTACTATGAGCATATCATACATACAGTCCAACATTCTGTCAATACTCATGATTAAAAAGAGTCTAATAGGCTAGGCCATTGTGCAGTGACTGTAATTACTACAACAAAATAAATAAATTACTAAAAATATATAAATAAATAATGCAGTGCAAAAATGGGGTTCAAAACGTAAAAATACCAAATTTTTTCATTAGAGAAAATGACTTAAAATGATAATAGACAAATATTTCAAGAAAGTTATAATTATATTTAATGTTATACTTAGTCAATTAATATCCATAGTGAATTGTTTTTATATTGTACTGCTGTTTCTGATTCAATTGTGTCATTCACTATTTTTCATGAGATGAGCAGTTCATTCCTCCATTAAAGACATAGCATAATCATTTTCTATTTTCAAATTTTTTTTTTTTGTTAATGGCCATGAAGAAATTCATTGGAGAAAAATATTTCCAAAGCCACGCCCACCTAAAAAGTTCTGTTCTGTTGTGCATTATACAGCTCTGTGAAACAGTGAAAACCGTCTGTGAATCCATGAGGTACATGATATGATTAATCAAAATGGTAAAACTATGAAATACAAACTTCTGGTTGGCATGTTATGTCACATTACTTCACTGAAGTCTGAATTGATAGTGGTTGGAATCGTTCTCCTTCCTTCTCTCTTCAAATTCAGTGGCATCTTCTCACAGGAGGTCAGACTCTGGTGCAGTACAAGGAATGTGACTTTGACGAGAAAATTAATAAAAAGTATATTGAGAGGGAGCCATGAGTGTGGCCCCCTAGGGTTACAGGCAGGGTAAGCAGCCCCAGGGTGCACAGCTGTGCAGGTACATTCACAAGAATAGTCCTGCTGTGGTGGGGGTTGAATTCCTCTGACTACCATTCACCTTTCTGAAACCCCAGTGCTGTCTGAACTACACCTGACAGCAGTGTTCAGAAAACTGCATCTATGGTTACCACGAACCTCTTGGTAGTTTCGAGCAGGATTTTGTTGACCACAACATCAACAGGAATATGAGGATTGGATCTGAAAAAAAAAAAGCTGTCTTAAAAAACAAACAAACAAAAAAAAAAATAAAAAAAAAATATATATATATATATATTGACTCTATACTTAATCTGAAATACATTAGTCCAGGGTTTTCAAACTGGAGTCTAAGATGTGTCCAAGGAAAATTTCAGACAAAAATAACAAAACCGGCCCAAAATGTTGTTATTAAAAATTATATTCTGTTAAATATATTCTGTTACACACTCACACACAGACACACAGACACACACACACACACACACACACTATTCTGCTTTCTAAAAAACTGGTTCATGATCATGAGATTAACTGTTTTTTAACTGTTAATTGTTAATTTTGTTAATTAACTGACCCTAATTTTTTCAGCAAATTTGTATTTTTACAATAATAATTTAAAAGTTAAATTTTTTTTTACAATAATTTAGAACATTTTAATGTAATAATGATTTAATTTTGCATGATTATGTACAACAATAATAATATTAGAGACAATTTTGCAAACAACATTTTTTTCTGTATAATATCAATATATTTCACACAAATTACCTTTAATAACACCTGCATTTCAAGAGTGTTGAAAAGCAAGTCACTGCAAATTCACACCACACAATATATTAATCATGCAGATTTTTGGGGCCTCAGTCATTTCTTAATGTCCCACTTGCAACATATGAAACCACAGTGAGATACCTGAGGTCTGGGTGACAAATGACTAATATACACACCATCCAACTATTACTCCACTCCCTTTCCCCTTCCTTTCATCCGTCCTCTTCCTTTTCTTTTCCCTCCTCTCTTTCTACCGCCTTCTTGCTCTCGTTCCAGACATGTCTGGTCTGAGGACGGCTGGAGGAAAAGATACCTTCCTTCCCCTGGCGGATCTTTCTTTATCTCACCATCTTAATTTCCTCCATCCAAACATCAGCTGTCTTACAGTGCAAAAATACACAAATATGTCTCTCCAAAAAAATGGAACCGAATGAAGAATACAACCACAGGGCGATCAGTTCTGACCCATAATGCTTCTGACTAACAAGTCTAATCTTTGGGGCATTCCTTCTAATGATGTAAGGATGCAGTGACTGGTTATGAACTTCAGCCAGAAGAAACGTCTCAGGTTACTTATGTAACCATGGTTCCCTGAGTAGGGAACGAGACACTGCGTCCTCTAGGGGTCGCTATGGGGAACGCCTCGTTGTGACCCGTGTCTGAAGCATACATTGAAGGACGCAGTTCGAAGTTCCCATGAAAGGGAATCAACCACAAACAAACCCACACATACATGTAATTCAGTTGTTTATTTATCAATGTTCGGCAGATGATTTGAAGAAGTAATTTGACCATTTAAGATTAGCGGGATCAAGACAATGGCATCTTTTGTTGGCAGTGTGGATGTGTGTGAACAGTAGGCTCTTTGTTTACTGTGCTGATAGTTATTGGATGGGAGTGTGAGGGAAATGGATGTCCGAGTCTATCATACCATTTCTGCTACATCACTTTCAAAGGAGCCACTGAGACAAATAGGAAGGAATGTACATATTCTTTCTTGGATGTTGAATCTGCATTAAATGAATGCAACAAAATGTAAAATTTTCTATTACTTAAAATGTAGTAGATACTTATTCAAAGCATTAGATAACTAGACGCCATGGTGGTTGCCGACAGGTGGTTGCCAAGGTGTAGCTATGTGGTTGCTATGGTGTTCTGTGTGGTATTTGTCATGTTGTTCTGCAGTTGCTATGATATTTTTACCTTTCATAAAAATGCATGTCTTAAAAACTATGACATCTAAATTAACACTGTAAAGCCTCTGTAAAACATAAATATTAGTCAGAAGAATATATATTTTTTTAAATGGAGCAGTTTGGTGAACCGTTTGTTGAAACTCTAAGAAAATGTTTTCATGTGTTTTGAAATAATAATGACTTTATAAAAGTTATTTTTAAATTTACTTTATAAAATATTTTAGATTTCACCAAAAAAAATAAAAAATAAAAAATAAATGTACCTCAACCTGAAGGTGGACATTTTTAGAATTGTACAAGCAGTTTTGAATAAGTTGATAATTTATGGATCTTACACACACAAAAAATGGTTCTTCAGCAGTTCTTTGGGGTCATACAAAGAACCCATTAAAGGGTTAGTTCACCCAAAAATGAAAATTCTGTCGTTAATTACTCACCCTCATGTCGTTCTAAACCCGTAAGACCTTCGTTCATCTTCGGAACACAAATTAAGATATTTTTGATGAATTCTGAGAGCTCTCTGACCCTCCCATAGACAGCAATGTAATTACCACGATCAAGGTCCAGAAACGTAGCAAGGAGATCGGTAAAATAATCCATGTGACATCAGCGGTTCAACCGTAATTTTACGAAACTACAAGAATACTTTTTGTACGCAAAGAAAACAAAAATAACGACTTTATTCAACAATTTGTCACCTACGCGTCACCCTGGTGCCATTTTGCAGAATATCCACTGAACGTAAACAGCGTATGCTGTTCTGTGTCAGCTGTGTCACACGGATACGTTTTCTATGTTGTTTACGCTTTGATTTGAACGAAAACAACGTATGAGGGTGAGTAATTAATGACAGAATTTTCATTTTTGGGTGAACTATCCCTTTAAGCCCATGTATAGTTCTTTAAAGGTTCTCTCTCTTAACTCTCTCTTAGTTTAGTTGGGTAAAGGATTAAAAAACGTCATTAAAATACAGTGTATTTCCTGAAGATAATGTGGTTCTCAACCTTTTTGCCTCCAAGGCCCCCCTATAAGGAAATATTCCAGGGGCCCCACACAAGACTTTTTGACCTCAGAAAAGCATAAAAGTGATTCAAAACAGCTTTTGCCATTGTAGTAAATTCCCATTCACAGCAAAAATATGAGAATGGAGTAACATATCTAAAATCTAAGGAGAAGAACGGGGTTCCTCTTATGGTTCTATATAGCACCATTTGACAAAGGCGCTTGTATAGCATCTTTTAAAGATAAGTGCTGTATAGCACTTAAAGTGGTTCCCCTATGATTACGAGCCAATGAACCACTTTTAGTGCTATTAAGCCTCATTTTTTGTAGAAGTGTAGAAATCCATGCATTAAATATGATACAGTGGGCTTTAAATGCAAAATAATCAAAATTGATTTAAGTGCTAATTGTGCGAAAAAGCCATCCCTCAGTACTACGTTTCAAATAAAAGAGAAGTCATTAACAGCATGTTTGAGATAAAATATGAGACATATTATATTTGAAGAAAACAAAGAAAAATCAAGGTAAATATACCTAGAATATGATTGTAAAAATATGATTTTATTGAGTGTATTTGAGATACATAAAATGGCATTTTACTTCAAACATTTGCAATTAAAAAAAAAATAAATCTATAATTGGAGATGTGATGAAAATGATAAGGGCTTACAGAAAAAAAAAACATGAGAATAATTACAAAATTCTCATTTGGTACATGCATACACACTAAATTGTTAGCAGAAATCAAATAAACTAGTGAGTGTGTCAAGTAAGTTTAAAAGAGTTTACTTTCTAGCTTACTTTCCCATATACAAAAAAAGATATATATCAAGCATGCAGACAGAAATTACTGTGAGATCTTTTGTTTCTTTAAACCTTTTCTGTTTTCTGACTTAAAGCAAAAGTCAACTGCTGGTCAAAAGGAAAAGCCTCAAAGTCAGAAGAAAGTTTGTGTGTTGACAGCTGTATTCAAACGCCAGGCAACAAATCTGACTGAGATTTAAATATTAATCCCAAAGCAATTAGGACAATTTGGAGAAATCACATAGCGGACATAATGACACCAATTCTCTTATTAGTTTAATTACTACTGAGTTTTGTTCAAGACAGGAAGAACACTTAAATGATATGACAGATATGAAAGAATGCTAGTAAAGGGGCTTGGAATGGAAAGAATGGAGCGGAGTGCTTATATTATGTATTTGTGCATTGCATTCATGACAGAGAGAGAAAAAAGAATGAGAGAGTGAAATTAAATGGTGTTATTGTACGACAGCACTGTGAAATCTTATGGAAAATACATTCTTGCTTGAATTCTCCTGACCTTTGTTCCAACTTGCATTTAAAATGATAGCACAGACACAACAGATCTAGGTTTACTATGACCATGGAAAACCCCAAACTAGCATCCACTGTCCCAGACTGAGGAATTAGGATGACTTAAGACACATAACAAGCCACTTTCAAAATGCTGCCATCCTAGAGCTCACATGTTCCTGCTAGAAATGCTGTCTGCTTTGGCAATCAAAACTAACATTAATCTCAAGACAAAACATCCAGCAATCACTGCCGATCTGTCACATTACTGTAGTCCTAATGGCATCCCTGAGTGGCCTAGCAGAGCTGGGCTAAAACTCACCTCTTTCAGCGCCACTGGACATGTTCCAACTGGAGGCGGCCACCACGTTTGGGTCTGAAGGAATCTCTGCCCCTGTTGATACAAAGCCAGAACAGAAAGTCAAAGAGAGGCACATTTCAGACTGTGGCGTTATCATGGTACAGAGAATGTAATATATGGCTATACCAAGGTACTTTAAAACATATACATGTATCATTGTATTTAAAAGCATATTTAAAATAAATAGGCTACTATGGTAATACCATAAGAAAAAAAAAAAAAAAAACATAACCTATATGGTTGCTAAGGTGTTCTGAGTGGTATTTATTGTATTGTTCTGCAGTTGCTATGATATTTTTACATTTCAAAAAATACATATCATGAAAACTAATTTCTAAATCATCCCTGTAAAGCCCTCGCATATAAAATATTAGTCTGAAAATGTAATTTTTTTGTAATGGAGCAGTTTATTGAACAGGTAACCATGTAATAAGCGAGATAATGTACAGTGAGCCAATCATTATTGCAAAATAAACCTCTTCAGGATGATATAAGACCAGTCTGCCTTGCATAGGGGCCCTGTTCACACTGCTTATTTGGTCAAAATGTACATAATCCCCTATTTAATTTAGATTTTAAGACATGAAGTAGAGTTTTTAAGGTTAACTGACAAAACGTTTTACATTTACATTATGGATAGTAATCTGATAGTATCTATGGATAGATGCTGATTCTAACATTTTTTTTAAATATGTTTTCAGTTCACTATTTTGGTCTCAATTCAATTTTGTGAAAATTATAAAACATACAACAAGAATGTGAAATTAAAGAGACAGTCATGTTGCTATTAGCGCTCTGTGTGTGTTCAGGAGCGTGCAGGTAAAACTGCCTTTAATATATGAAGATTACAGACTTGTTACTGTACAAAGGACATTTTATTATAGTGTAGCAGCACAATATGGGCAAGTGTTGACAGGTTCAGAGTTTGTGATGCTCATCTTACAATGGCCCCCTTTGAGTCAGACCAGGGATATTTTCATCGTTTTACTACAGAACACAATAAACAATGGACTGGGGCAGTACAGGAGTCCAAAAAGAGGTGCAAGCCTGCAAGGTGCTCCATGAATGTACAAAATTAGTTTATTTCTCTCCCTTTTGTATGTTCGTATGCTTAGCCAGAGATGGAATAAAAAGGAGAAAGACTAAATTAATGATTGAAAAATGAATGGAAGAAATCCCAAAACATGACATTGTAGCTGTACGTGTAGACATTTACAATCACCTTACTGCTAAAGACATGACCTGATCTAGTCTTACTCTGTCTAGAGCGTATAAGCTTGACTAGTCTATGCAGATTTATGTGATTTTAGCTAAAGACTTTGATCAGCTGGTTTAGGTCTGTTTAATTAGGGTTGGACCTAAACTGTACCCTCCAGGAGCAGGTCTGAACTGCCCGATGTAAATATATGATAGCAATTTAGTCAGATTTTATAATGTATGTCAATAATTTGACACATCACTGTAAAAGTTTAGCCAACAGTTTTGCTTTTCAACTTTATGTTTTAATAACTTTTGCTGTACTTTAAAGAAGTACACTTATTTTGACTAACATACAGTCAACAAAAATAAGTGTACTTCTTTAAAATACAGCAAAAGATTATAAAAACATAATGATCTAAAATGTACTTTAAAGTGTGCTAAGAGCCAGTCAAAAAAGTGCACTCTCTTTAAGTGGCCTTTTATTTCATTAATATAAAATTATCAGGAGGTTTTCAAAAATGCACTTGTAAGATTAAGAGTATTTTTAAAGCAATACGATTAAGTGCACTTCTTTTTTCACAAGGGTACAAAATATCTGTCAATTACCAATATGGCTGCAAAGTGAAATGACTTGCTGTAATAAACAATGTGATTAGTTTTTCAATGATGGCTGCTGTGTAAACTGACTGACTTGCTTTAAAAAGCCATTTGGTATGACTGATAGCATAATCTCAAGTAAACACTAAAACAGTTCACACTTTTTGTGGACATCTCGCTCTACCTAGTTCCATGAATGCCAAAAACAGAAAGGTGTGCTTCCATCCAGGGATGATCATTCAGAAATATTACACAAATAAAAATATATTCTGCTCTTTTACAGCCTCACTGGTCTCTCCACAATACCTTTTCCAAAAAGTAGGCTTACTTGGGGAAGGAAATCCCAGAATGCATAGTGACATGATTTGTTTTTTCAACAAAAACAAACAAACAAAAAATTTTCAACTAAATTAATTACATCTATATAAATAAACTTAAATTTCATATAATACAAAACATAGCAATAATCAGTATAATTTAAAAAAATGTTCAGCATACTTTTAAAAATAATTATGATCTGCATAATTAAAAACATATGACTTTACCTAAGATTTGCATGTTCTATTTATTTTTATGCTTATTAGTGTATAACGCAATTAGATAAACAACATACTAATGCCAAACTTTGTCTGCTAAAGTTGCTTTCTGTGTAGAGCGTTCCTAATAATTCACTTATGATTTTCCAGATACGATGCTGTCTTAGAAGGCAGCTGCACATGTAGGCAGCGAAGAAGCTCCCTAGGTTTTATTTTAACAGAGCTCTAGTGGTGGTATGAAATAAATACACAAGTCTCACAGCTAGAGAGTGAAAGCGTGGAGAAAGAGATAGACAAGCGTCAAAGTGTGAACACAGAGGTGTTATTACATTAACTGGGTGTTAATTTAATGTTAAATATGCCTGGTGTTAGAAAACATGCCACTTTAATGAGCTGCTGATATACACACACACCTGTTAGTGCCAATGAACTGTCTTGTGTGACATAGTGTGCGCGCACACACACACACACACACACACACACACACACACAGACCACCACATGCTACCGTTGCTGGGTTAAAGACCAGCAGCTGCAGGGGCAGGTGGTTTAATGCCCCTTTCACAATGACATTGACTGCAAATGCAAATTACACTCATTAGTGATGTATCTATGACAGCTCACTTCATCTGCTCATTACATTATGACCATTACTCATTATGGCATGACCTGGCACTTTCATCTGAGTCAAGTGTGGCCCCAAATTAGGATCATCTAAATATATTTTACAAGTGTCACATTACTGTAACATTTTATGGTATAATAATCACTTTTAACATGACAAACACTGTCACCACACACACACACACACACACACACCCACACACACACTCCTAAAGCCACTTTTAGTAATGTCTTTTCAATTAATTACTCATCTGCCACAATGACGCATTTAAATTATATTAAACTGGGGCCATTTTTTCAGCAAATATTTATATAAGCAATTATATTGTGATTTATGTGATTAGCTAATCAGTATATCCATTCAATTAATCTGGACATTTTTTTTTCCAAATGACAGCCCTACTTATGATACATTTCAACTACTGCGACACAGGTCAGCTGAATATATCAAAACAAATGAAATGCAGTTTTACTGCAGTTAGTCCACATCTGCAAGCTACCCATCATTAGCTAATCATGAAATATTAGGCAAATTGCAGTGTAATTTGGAGATTACCTCCCTAATGTTGCCAAACAACAAAGGAAGCTTCTACTGGGAAGATTTGTTAATTATGACCTTAAAGGAAAGTAGTACCGGAAAGTCTCTGGTACAGCATTCACAATAAATATGCATCTGAAAGCACATAATGGTTGTAGGTTTCAGTCTGGTTTGTGTGTTATGTTCTTACTCTTCACTTATTGCACAAATATAATATAAACACAGATGAAGATCTTGATTTTCCCTATTCTTCACTATTTTACATATTTGACAGAAAGACAGACAGACAGACAGACAGACAGATAGATAGATAGATAGATAGATAGACAGATAGATAGATAGACAGATAGATACTTTTTTTTGGCAGACAATTTCTAACCAAAGCAACAAAAAGGCACTACTGACGTCAAGTAAAAGAAAGTTTGGAAATGAACAAAGTCTTTACTCTAATAAATAATGAGGTCATAATTACTCTGTCACTATCTAATTGTAAGGTCCCCTTCAAGCAATTAAATAAAAACAGCTGGCTGAGTCTTAGAGAGTTGCTGGATCTTCCTGGGTTCCAACAATTGCCTGTTGACCTTCATGAATTATTAGCATAATTACATCGGCACTTGGATGTGAATGGAAAATGTGAAGCTAGCTGGGACAGAGACAATAAAGCTTTTTAATGACAGGGATAATGTGAAGGAAAAGCCCATGCTGATGATTCCGACCATAAACTCTTATGTTTGGAGGTGGGTGCTGAACCTGGCCCAAATGCTGAGGTTTGTCTTGGCTAAGTGTTTCCTTCACTGTCACAACCGTTGAGCAAATTCCCACCTCAGACAGGAGAGTAAACCTCCTGTCTGAGTGAAAGAGAGATGGAGACGATTCATGGTAGAGGAACATGGCTGTTTCACCTTCTTAGGTGTCACCTGATCTATATAAAAGGATCAACAAGACTCCACTGAATAACTCCACCTGAGTGCACTAAGGGGAAAAGGAACCATGCTACCCCCAAATCCTCCACCACCTACCCCACCGTCCTGTCTCAGGAAGCCGAGCTGTAACGTGATAACTCTGTTCAGGCTCCAGGGACCCAGATGGCCCGGTATAGACCAGGTGTAGACAAGCTGGAGACTGGGCAATGAACCAGGGTGAGCGCTGGCCATGGACACTGTAATACAAGGAACTTTCCCATTAGCACAACAAACACCAGAGCAGAACACAGCCTCTGATGCAGCTGAAAGGTAGTCTCTCCTGCGGTTAGCCCTCCTTAGCAAGACAACAGCCAGGCCCACCCCCAGGGGGTGGCCCTCCTGGGAGCTAAAGGGAATGAGCTAATATTAGCCCCAGGGTGAAAGTACTTAGCTGGAAACAATGGACATCAGCTCTAAAGAGCATTTTTGTAAAAAATATTTTTTGTTACAGAAACATTTTGTTTACGTTTCTGGCAAAATTAGTACAATGGAGTGTATAATATATAATATAACATATATAACATATATAATATGTGACCCTGGACCACAAAACCAGTCTTAAGTTGCTGGGGTATATTTGTAGCAATAGCCAAAAATACATTGTATGGGTCAAAATTATTGATTTTTCTTTTATGCCAAAAATGATTAGGATATTAAGTAAAGATCATGTTCCATGAAGATATTTTGTAAATTTCCTACTGTAAATATATTAAAACTTAATTTTTGATTAGTAATATGCATTGCTAAGAACTTCATTTGCACAACTTTAAAGGCGATTTTCTCAGTATTTCGATTTTTTTGCACCCTCAGATTCCAGATTTTCAAATAGTTGTATCTTGACCAAATATTGTCATATCATAACAAACCATACATCAATGGAAAGTTTATTTATTCAGCTTTTAGATGATATATCAATCTCAATTTCGAAAAATTGACCCTTATGACTGGTTTTGTGGTCCAGGGTCACATATGTGAAAAACAGTATAGCAAACAATACAGCACAGTAGTATTGCGTACACAGCTTCATTAAGCCATCTTGAAAGAGTTCAAACTTTTGTAAATTGTCCTTCATTTCATATGTAACACTTGGAATGTCTAGTGAATCATGTAAGGAAAAACATTTTACATGATCTTTTTTACAAGTAATTTTTACGAGAGGGGTGATCCTTTTTTATTTATTTTTCTGTCATGTTGGTGTTATATCTGATTCTTTTCTATACCACTGTATTTTATATATTTATTAATGCGTCCTTCCTAAATAAAAGTACTAGTTTCTTGGAAACAAAACAAAACTTACTGACCCCAAATTTTTGAACAGCAGTGTGTATGTATGTACTGACCCTTTTAACTATTTTCCATTTACGTAGCTTTTTTGTTACTAGCTTCATTTTCTAATGAGTTGCTTGGCTGCAGTTTAACTACTTTAAATTATTAGTAGTTTATAGCATTTTTCATGAGTAGCTTGTAGTGTAGCCAACTACTTTTTCAAGAGTAGCTTGGCTGTAATTGAACTACTCTAAATTATGAGTAGCTTGTAGCTTGGCAAGCTACAGTGTCAAAGCTGCTTCCCCAGCGCAGGCTAATGTGTTGCTGAAACAGCAGTGCAGCACGCAGGCTGATGGGTATCATATCAGGACATCCCATGCAATCAAGATCAACATGGAGAGATTAGCATATTCCTGAAAGGACCCGAACCACTTCAAAGCCGATGCATCGTTTACCTACGGTCTAATTTCAGGGGCCCGGAGTGATGTTTGGTCAGACGTGCAACACGTCACAAACATGATATTGCTTTACCATTTAATGACCCGTGTACTCACACAACGCAATCTCAGGGCATATCGGGTCGTTCTGAGATTTCACAGGAGCATTTCGGAATGTGCTCTTCTGGTTACCACCTACTGTAGAAGTCATTTGTTTTCCGCTGACAGCCAGGAGAAAGCAATCTCCCGGTGCCAGACTGACAACATGCTGAAATCATCCACTTGCGTGGAACAGGCTCCACTTGCATTATCAGAATCTGGACACAAGCACGATCTCAGGTGAAGAGGGAAAGACACATACCGTGTGATTGGTAACAGCACCGCAAGAGCCTATCAGTATTCCAAAGGTCCCATATGAAACTCACACAGATTTTCAATAAAGCAACTCAGAAAACTCAGCCTGAGGAGCGTTTGGGATGGATAAGAACCCAAACCGATGCCCCGGTTAATGTGGGACAATTTAGAATGTCATTACAGATTAAACATCACGGGAGGCCCGGGGTTTGCTCCAAATCCTTGTGATCAGAATTTCCAAACGCTTTCCTCAGTCTTTCCCTAAGCTTGATAGAAATAGGGAGAGTTTAATGAACAAATCAAGCCAGTTGGATGTAAGTCGTGGAACATCTTAAACCGTTTAAAAGCAATGATTGTCTTCTGCCTAAGGGATGATTGCAGAAAACAACACTGACAAGAGAAAGTGTTTGAGGACTACCAGTGATGCTGCAGAGCTGTCCATCACCCAAGCTCTTCACATACAGGACTCAAGCCACCATGCTGCACCTGGTGCTACTCAGCTACTCCATACTGAACTCTAGACCCTTAAACTGCTTACTGATGAGAGTTTATATTAAGATATTATCTATAAGCATTCATGTTTAAAATATCTACTTTTATATGGTGGGATATTTGCAATTTATACTGTAGGAAGCTTCCAAAAACAATTAGCAGGCTACTTTTGAATGGACATCAATGGAGAAAATTGCTTTTTGCCACCAGAATGTTTTAGTGCTATGCTAAGCTAGCAGGCTAAGATATTAGTTTGCCAAATGAAACAAACAAAGGGAAAATGTATGTCAATAACATAACAAAAAATAAAAAATCATAACAATTTTCATGATTAAGAAGAAATACACCTTTAAGAGATTTTCTAACATTTCTAATCAGGCACTGAAAAAAGTACCCATAAAAAGTTACCTCGGCTGAAAGAGAAGGGCTACACATTTTAAATGTGCATATGCGCTTAAAAAAACTATTTACAACAAAAAAGCACACAGATGGCCTCAAAGCTAGCAGATATGGACTACAAGCCACAACATTGCAATTTTCAGGGCCCACCATTCTTAAAGCCATCATCAAGACCACAAATCTGACCTCAAAAGAGGTGTAATACCCAAAATATGAGAATTATAGAGGAGATAATCCATTTACTTGGCCAAGAAAACCCACAATCTAATAAAAAATCAATTGCTTGGGTCTACTTCTTTAGCATACAGGTTTTTCCATGTGCTTGTAACTTCTTTTCCAAAGGGTTACTTCCTCGCCTTTATGCAAAAGTTAATCTCCCTGATTTATGGTAAATCTTGCAGCTGGGAAATGGGATAAAAGCACGACAGATAAGTCATGGGCGATGTGTTACGCTATCAGCACCAGACACTATTCGCGTGGAAACGTAGGAATGTGTCTGCAGAAGCTGTTAGTTCCCAGAACTGCTGCATTGATACATATCCATAAAAACACTACTGGGAAACTAATCACATAAAACACTCGGACATTGTTCAATACAAGCCGTTTGTCTTTAAACGTGATCCATTGATGGCCGCACGGCACTATTCACAAGTCTGCCCAGACAGAATGGAAAACATCTGTGGGCTCTCTCATATACTATGTCTTTGTCACCTGACCCAATAGTGTGACAGTCACGGCAAGATGAACCAGATTACGAGCCAGAACCATCTATTTTTCCAGTAAAATTTACAGCCATTTATTATTTCTCTTTTCTTCCAGCCCAGTCTTCCTCTTGTTGCTTAGCCAGCTTTGGAGAAAGTGCCAGTGGGATGTCTACAGCTTTGGCTGCCTCCAGCTTTCTCTTCTGTCAATCATATGGATAGTCTCTTGATAGCACAGCCCTCAAGGGTTAGAGAAATAAGCTGCAGAATTCCAGAGAACCTTTAGCTGACATAATGAGGAAGACAGTATACTGTAACGTCTGGACCAATCAAACACACAATTTTTCATTTGATTTAACAAATCAGTTATTCATTAGATTAACAAATCGATCTAAATATTTATAATTAATTATAACTAGTTATGATTAATTATTAATATTTCCCCATGAGCTGATTCGCTACAATACGCACAAGAGACGGAATGAGAGAGGAAAAGCAAGTGAAAGGGATGGTGACAAAGACAGATAGAGAGAATTGAAGTCAGTTGGACAAACTTTAGCCAAAAACCAAAGGATATTCCATCTGGTGCAAGTAAAAAAAAAAAAAACATTTTTAGAGGCATAGAGGCTTGAGGCTCTAAAGTGGGGCTTGAGGAAGTGACATCGCCTGCGTCTGCGCAGTGCGACCTGATGCAGTCCCTGAGGTGAGACACAGGAAACAGAAATACTGCAAAATAATAATAATAACGCGACTAAACGAGACGAAATAACGTTATAACATTTCGTTTCGTCTCGTTTTGGTCAACGAAAATTAAGAGACATTTTAGCATAGTTTTTATTTTGTAAACCACATTTAGTCACGTTTTTATTCGTCAACAATATTGCATTATACATTTAATTATAGTCATCGTCACATGACCAGCATTTACGTTGCGTCTCGTCTCGTTTTCGACACGTGACAAAGGTTCGTTGACGAAGATATTTAGTCATAATTTTCGTTGACGAAAGCAACACTAGTTGTTCCAAACATGTATGACGTTCTGCAGAGCAGAAACGGGGGTATTTTGAAGAACGCTGAGGTCCAATCATCGACTTTTACTACAGTATATAGTATACAAAATATAGAGACATTTCAATAAAAGAAATTAACTCATACAGGTTTGGGACATCATGAGGGTGAGTAAATCATAACAATTTTCATTTTTGCATACACTATCAATGAAGATGCTTCCTGAAAAAAAACTTTTTGAATATCTCTATAAAACAATTCTCACCTTAAATTGTTTCTCACCTTCTATTTGTAGGGGCCTTTCATTTTGAATTGTATCAACTGATTTTTTAACTGTATCAACTGACAGTTTATTAGCATACATTAACAAGAAGGATCACTAAATGAAAGCATACTGCTGCTTTGATATTATTTGCATCCAAAAGAGAGCAAAGTTGGTATTCCACACCCAAACACCTATTTCATCAGAAATCAGAGTCAGAAAAAGACTATCATTTGAGGAGCAGACTCTTCCTCAGCAATTGGCTCCTAATGCTGAGGATTTGTCAGTGGGATTCCAGTCTTAATGAAACTTGCATCTCTGGTTATTTGAAGACAAGTAGATTGCCAGATGGAGACTCACATCTAGTCTGCACTTCAGTGGTTTTCAACAGAGTATAATCATAGGAAGAGTATTATACAGCACTAATTAGATTCTCTTTTTTTTTTTTAAATCCATATTTTACATTTTTTAAATAATATAAAATTAATCAAATGTAAAAAAAAAAATCTTTAACATCTATTTCAGAAGATGTCATGCTACATTTATCATTCTTTTTAAATTATATCAGCGTAACTTTATCAGGGTAATGGTAGATCACCAATTGATTACGACTCAGGATGTATGTAGCTATATGTCATATACAGCGGATAAATGAATTTCAGTTGGACATCACTTCATTTGCCTGTGTATTCATGGGGTGAACATGGCAGCACTGAAAGAAGAACAATGAGAGATGATGTGGGGGAAGCCTGGATCTGGTTAGACACTGGGCTCTAAACAACCAGAATGATGAGAGATGAGTCATGGGTGTGTGTATAAGCTTATGTACATGGTAAAAAATGTTTTCATAATTTTGTTATATAATCTCTTTTTCCATCCATTTAAATGAACACAATAACTTCTGTCATTTCAACTTTTAAAATGTTATAGGTTTTCAGTGAATTTTCAATATATGACAATATATTTATATAAAAAAGAGTGCCATAAGGAAAGTCTTATGCACTTCAATATAAATAGGAAAAAAATGACAAAAGAAAACAAGATCATATTAAAGCTCGCCACAAAACTCAGACCAAATAGTACAAAAAAAAAAAAAAAAAGGACTAGCAGTAGAGAGAATAGACTGCAGGACTCAACTCTGGGGCCAACCAGCAAGTTAAGAGTAGATGTTAATGAAGCATTAACTAAGTGGAATCTCCAGAGTACTTGACTTCAAGAGGAAATAGCACAAGACGGGTACAGAGAGTGAACAGCAGGAGAAAAGTCCAGATGGAAGGAAATCCAATAGGACAGGAGCCCTAGAAGACCTGCCTGCTCCCATCTTTGCTCATGGGCACTTAAAGGGTTAGTTCACCCAAAAATTTAAATTAGCCCATAAATTACTCACCCTCAAGTCATCCTAGGTGTATATGACTTTCTTCTTTCAGACGAATCCAGTCGGAGTTATATTAAATATTGTCTTTGATCTTTCAAGCTCTATCGTTGTACTCAGCGGCTGTTGCAGTGCTTCGGTTCAAATGACGTGAAATAAAAAGCACCCTTCCACAAAAAAAAGTGTCTCACACGGCTCCGGGGGCTGAACAAAGGCCTCCTGTAGCGAATCGATGCATTTTTGTAGGTGCTTTTTATTTCACCTCATTTGAACCGAAGCACTGCAACACCCGCTGAGTGCAACGATACAGCTTGAAAGATCAAAGACAATTTTTAATATAACTCCGACTGGATTCGTCTGAAAGAAGAAAGTCATATACACCTAGGATGACTTGAGGGTGAGTAATTTATGGGCTAATTTAAATTTTTGGGTGAACTAACCCTTTAAGTCTGAAAGGTCTGGAAAACCCTTCACTAGTGACTATTCTGTGATGTTATAGGCAGCAGACAGAAAAAAAGTGTTAAAATAGTACATTTTATGCTTTTTAAGACCACCCCAAAAATGGTCCCTGCACAGCAAATTTCTGGAGTTGAAAAATCAGGAGTTAGGCAAAAAAGAGCAAAAGAGTTAGATTTCTGGAGTTTATTTTTTAACTCTGACTACAGTATGTGTTATGGGATACTCCCTGGCTGTGTTTTATTTTGGAGTTGATTAATTGGTGTACAGGAGCGTGTTTTAACACCACATCTGGAGTTAAATGTTGAGAAGTGCGCCACGACACGACCCTGGTTCTGCAGCACAAAGGACTTGTACTTCATCGTGAGGTAGGTAAAAGCGTATTCATATATAAAAAAAAAAACTTTCAAAATGTTCGATATTTTCTGACAGAAACACGTTTTGTCGTAGCTATTACGTTATATACTGTGTACTAACGTCAATGATCGTGGCGAACTTGGTGCTGAACGCAACTCGTATTTTCTCAGTTTTTCCGAGCATGTTTTGTGCGGGCTTTTTTTTTTTTTGTCGATGTGAAGGAGCTAACATTAGTTAACCGTTTTTCCATTCTCCGTGTTTCTGAAAATGAGTGTTTTGCCGTCAAATTAAAGTGGTGACTCAGCTCAAGAAACATCCTATTCAGCTTCCATAAACTAATGCCGACGAGGTAATATCTTTTATCCAGTAATGCAGCCTTATGTCTGTCAGATAGCCTTATGTTTTACATACGTGGTTACTAAACTGCAGTGTCTACCCTGGCTATAGTTGAGCTGTGAAAGTGTAGGCCTGCAATGTTTTGAATTGTAACAGCTTATACAATTAGTCGTGACCCATGAGAGTGCGTGGTTTTCAACTTAAACATTTTTTTTTTGCATTCTCAATCACACTAACATTAGCTGTTATCTTAAATTACATTTTTTTCTCTTTAATGTCAGGTCACGATTTTGATAAAAGTGTAACGTGGAGGGAAGAAGTATGTAAAACTGGAAGATGTTTGTTTCTCAGATTTTCTCAGTACAGGTGAGTTATATGTTTAGTATTCAGTTAATAAAGAGTAAGTAGCAGTAATTTTGTAATTTCTTTTGTAAATAACATGTTGATGTTATTGTGTAGTCCAGCAGAAGTTTCTGATACCAAAGAATACAACATTGAAAGTCACAGATGACCATTGCATAGAGGTGGATGAGGATGTCTTTCCAGAACTTGCAACAACCAAAGAAATGTGTTTTATCATCCACACTGATGATGGTAGGACATTTAAGAATTTTTGATTTGTTTTATAGATATTTTGAGAGTTTGTATCTTGACTCGGAGACAAAATGTGTGTATTTCAGAACTTCTGTTTGCTGAAACATCCAAGAACTCTGCTGACTTCTCAGACCTGACAAAGTTTGGTGCCTCCTCAAATCAGACAGATGTTGTTACTCTCACTACTTGTGGTAAGCAGAGTTAAATGCAATGTGATAATTTTGTCTGACCCTGGGAATATCCACCTTGGAACATATGATAGTTTTGCTGACGCAGCTCTTAGATTATATTTACATTTCTATGACATTCAGAGCAACAAAGGCTTTCTTGAGTGGTGTATAAGTGTTGTTGGCAATGTTTTATACAAATTTACTAAACATTTCTAGTTAGCACTCTGTTAGCTGGCTGGATGTATTTAATGTAAATGTTTTGCTGTTAGATTTTACAGTATTTTATGACCGCAATTATTTTCGAAGTGTATCCATGCATGGAATTTCTAAACCTAATCTATGGATTTGCTCAAATAAAAGCAGTAAGTCAAGAGTATGGCATTCAGTGTAGTCATTTTCACATAAAACATTTGATTGTGTTAAATAAATGTTAACTCTAAGAAGTGTTAAATTAAATATTTTTTAAATGTTGATTTTTAATACTGATAAGGAGTTCATATTATAATTAAATTTTAGAGCTATAATTACTCTCCGTAGGATTAGTATTTTAACTCCAGAAAGAGTTAAATTTTAACTCTGAAACAGTGTTAAAAATTCAACTCCAAGAGCACAAGAGCAGAGTTATTTTAACTCTGTGCTGGAGTCTATTTGATGGTCACGCATGTACACTCAGATTGAGTTGATTTTAACTACCAGGGAGTTTATTCCAAAGACCAGAATTTGCTGTGTGGCAAACACTTGAACTTTCTACTGATCAAAGAATCCTGAAAAAATGCAGATCACGATTTCAACAAAACAGAACTTTTTACAACTGTGATAACATTAAGAAATGTTTCTTGAGCACCAAGAGAAAAGACGATGTAGAAGGAAAAAAGGCACCACAAAAAAGATCCATTTTGTATTACCTCATTTCCTGTCACAACTAGCTGCGAGACGTCCTATCTTGCTGACATTCGGCAAAAAAACCACAACATATTGCTCCTATTTCTGCCACTCCATCAATACACCAGACTGAAATAATTCTATTTGGCATTGTTTTAAATTGTTAATAATTTGCAGGTAACCAGGGGAGGCTTGGTCCAGTGCAGACAGGTCCGGAGAGCGAGGGGGTCTGGCCTTCATTAGCCATTTCATTCCCCCTCAGCACCTCCACCTCAGCTCAAGGTCTGGAACCATCCATTTACATCTGCGTAATTGGGGACACATGCAGGTTCACATGTACTAAATCTATCCCGTCCTGACAGCTCTACCCCCTTCAGGGTGTCTTGACAAATCCTTGATATGATCAAATGCTACCTCTTCCAGTTCCACTGAGTCCGTCCCACAATAAAGCAACAATGCAGGATGGAATAAGCAGCCTATGCCGTAGATGAAGCCAGCATCTGATAGCATATTGAAGATGTTTACACTAATATTGCTGTTCTGATGTTATCACATGCTTTCATGGATCATATGTTCCCGAGAGAGGGGCTCTAGAAGCAGGGACAGATTTGAATGGAAATAGATTAGATGGGGGGTCAACTTATGCATAAACACATATTGTCTACTGGGGCGATCTGTCTTTGAAGCAAAATGAATCTTGTGGAATGAGCACAAGCATTTTGGAGATACAACAAAGCATTTTTGGGCTGCTTTTAAAGTATGACTTCAATTACAGTTACATAGTTCTAGCGCATCCACGGGATTTTAAACAAAAGCATATCTACGGGATCATAACCAGACAGAATAACAAAACACAGCTAATGAAAGGGCAATGGACATAATAGTTTAGAGATGTTGTTGCAAACTGCGGTCCCTTTGAAACAACATTATGAATTTCAGTAAATGTATCGATTTGATGACTACTGGATGAAAACAAAACTTGCACTGAATTGAGCTAGAGGATGACAGTATTGTTTTCTACAGAGCTGCTTTATAGCACAATTAAATGTGTTTCATAATTGATGAATATTGGACATTGAAACTGTTATTAAACTGAATCGAATCAATATTGAACTGACTTGAGCTGAATAACTCACTATCACCCTCTGTAGAGCTGGTTAGACAGTAGCTGAATTCATAATTGATGCACTTTAGGCAATTTTTCAACTGAACTGAACCAACACTGAATTGACTTGAACCGAATAATGACACCATTGTCTCTGCAGATCTGCTTTACAGCAGAATCAAAATTAGTCTCATATTTGAACAAGTTAGCATAATTGATTGTTATTTTCCTGTTTATTACTGTGAAGCTGCTTTGAAACAATCTGTATTTTATAAAGCACAATATGAACAAAGTTGACTTGACTTTCATCTTAAATTATGTAAATTGAAATAATGAATCAGCCACCACCAACGACATTCTGATTACCTTATCGTTACAGTTCTCACAGCCATTTAAATGCCCGAAAGCTATCAGAATGATCACATATGTACCTTCAAACGATTACCATTGAGATCACGTTAAGATAACTTGAAAGGCTCATAAGGATGAAACCTGTGTTGGGACAATCTTATCGCTCCATAATAAAGCCAAATAGCTCACATTTTAGCAAGGGCGCACAGTCTATATGCCTTAAATTGGCTTGTCTTTAACTGAAGACTGATACATTTTAGCAGCCTCATGTGGAACATGTACACAGCAGTTAGTATTTTAAGTAAATTGAACCAAAGTGCCCTTTCAGTGATATGATGAGCAATAATTTAACCCGTTCTGGGTCTTTCACATTACAGTTAGAGTTTCTCTGGCTCTCTGGGGGGAGGGGGGTGGGGGGCACTGATGTGCAGTATTGCCTTTGATTCCGCACATCTGGAAAAGCTGCTCAGTGGTTTAAGGCCATCCACATACAGTCTTTGAAACGAGCAGCCACCGCTGACAGTCTACAGAGGCCACTGCTCCCATGACAGCAACCCCCACCACCCCCTTTCCTTCTGGAAGACTGTTTTTATCAAGTCTCATGCAAGTGGTAATAAAAGTTTTTGATTTTAGAGGGGGGTTGTGTGTGTATTGGGTTAATGAGAAAGAGAGATTAGATTTTCTTGCCAAGGACCCACAAATATGATTGCGGGGGACCCTCTTCCTACAACAAAGTCAGACATACCACATTTTATGTACACATGTATATAGACTCATTCTTTAATACGTTTCATGCAAGAAAAATATTAAGTGTGGAAAAAAAGTGTGTTATAAAGACAAAAGTGTGTTATGAAGACTAAAAAAATCAACTGCTTCCAAAATGTGTTATTTTACATTAGTAAACTGTAAATAAACTCTACATAAGTTATCTGTAAATACTAAATATTTAATTTAGGCTGACAGCACATCTGAGATCATTTTTTCCAAATGTATGTTTTGCTTTCCTCCTGCCAGTTTCTAAAACATACCGAACCATGACTTCAAAACAAGGTACGTACTGAATTGTTTTCAGCAAGCCGCATGATTTGAGGTATCAACCATGTCCGTGCTAAAGTTTAAAAAGTTTTAAAACTCCCCAAGTATAAGCAATACTAGCAGCTTTAGCAAGCACCATTAATTAACAAATGAAAATAAATGGACCGACACCAGACGTGGGATGAAGATGAGTGACAAAGAAATCGAGAGGAGAGCACAAAGGTGGCGGAGGTAAATGGTGGATGGTGGTCTGTTATGCAATCAGTCTGTTCTCCTCCATGATGCATCAGCGTGGATTAGTCAGCTCACAGGAGCTCATAAATTAGCCTGGTGGAATGTGTACGTCTGCCAGCCTCTTGCCTCAAGAAGCTCGGTCCTGCTCAAGCCATCACCGGCCTGTGGTTTCTCATCTTCTTTGATTCATCCACCACTTTTCCTTTCTCTTTCACAGGTTTTGGTCTCTCTTTCTTTGTTGTTATGAAATCGTCAAATAGTTGCAGGAAGATGAAAGCAGAATGAAATACACTGCGGTTTCAATGGAGGTCTGCTCGACAGAACTGCAAAATATTTCAACCTGATGGCATTTCTAATGGGCTTATATCATACGCTCACTGATGCTAACTAATAAGCCGCATAAGGAGGATACATTCCGCTGTAATTGTAGCCCCAAAAGTGCACTAGAGCTGTCAGCTTAAAGACTAACAATGTGGTGGAGTTGAGTTAATATTCCCAGTGCATTACAAAGTATGGGATTACAATTGTTTTGCTTAAAACTAATCTAACATAGCATAGCCTCACCTCACGAAAAAAGAAACAAAGCCATTGTGAATAAGGTCAAACTAAACACCATTTTATGACAGAACAGGAACGCTAGTCATTCATCACTCCTTGAACCCTAAAATGGTCGCCTTGACCTCTCTTCTCCTGAGAGACAGCCAGGTCAAAGCAGGCAAAGGATGTCTGGTGACCCCCCTCATGACTCCTGCTTGGTGGTGTGGGGTTCTGAGGAAGAGCAGACACGCTAATGAGTTTTACAGCAAGTCTACTCAGCTTTTTAGTGCAGTTTTGCTCATTTGTGTGAAAGAAGGAACAAAGCTACACTATCATTCAAAAGTTAAAAAAAAAACAAAACAAAACAAAACAAAACTTTTATTTGGCAAAGATGCATGAAATTCTATTTAAAGCTGCAGTCCGTAACTTTTTTTTGGTTAAAAATTATCCGAAATCAATATTTGAGCAAGTACATAACCAGCCAGTGTTCAAAACTATCGCCTTACTTTAGCCCGATTCACAACGGTTAGCTTATAATAATGTTTTCTAATTTGAGTGGAACGGGTAGGTTTTCATGGGAAATTCAAGCATGGCACTGCATCATTACGTCACTTCTGTAAACATAAAGAAGTTGTCCCGGCTAGAAGGCTATCGCATGTGAGGGTCCTGCAGGTGGCCGATTGTTTATAGCCTTTTCTCACAGCAGCTGGAATAATTAAATGTATCATTTTGATGGCGGATTGTAATCCATAAAGGATTATGTGTTTATGAAACACATGTGAATGAAATTAAATTATATTCCAGTTATAAATGTGCTTCTGATTACAGATAGCCTGGGATTACAAATATTTGTATTTTAAATAAATCCAGTTCGAAGGGAGCGTAATTTGCTTTTTGGGTTAAAAGAATTTCTTAATATGAAATT